GATGTTTCGAGAAATCAATAATCAACTTCCTGTGTTGTTTGTATAGAATAATAACTTATATATTATATATTTAAAAAGATACTTTTTTAGCCCAGAAAAACCTAAATTTTTTAAAATTACTTTCCCTTTATCTGATTCTAGCAAAGTTTAACAGAAAGCGAAATAATTTTTACTTTACTTAAGCAAACTTATTGCTGATGTTATCTGACTCGGACTTGATTTAATATAAAAATAATTTCCCGAATTTACCTCAAACTATTTTTAAAGTAAAACAAACACATTATTTTCCATAAAATGTGTCAAAAGCAAAAATATCCTTTGACCAAAATGGCAACGACGACAAAAGAGTTTTATTCGGCAATTTCTGTTCACTTTTTGCAGTCCGAAAATATTACCCGAGCATAAAACACAAGAAGACTTCTTATGGAAGACGTCATATTTCATAACCCATAAAGGAGCACTAAGCGTTGTGCTACTAGTGGAGTTAATTAGATTTACGCTTTTATCTTTGTAAATGCACCACTTCATCAGCGCTCTGACTTAACTTGGAACAGACAAATGTTCACACCTAATGCTAAAGAAGAAATATTTCACTTTAGGCGAAAAGTGTGAAGATGTGAAATTCAATGTCAAAGTAAAGGTTGCGATTGTAGATTCGCTTTGGGTCACCAGTGAAAGAAATGGAACATGCACTTTTACTTAATAAAATTACAAGTTTAAATTCAATAAAACAAAAGAGCGAAAAGTTAGATTGAAAACCTTTGTGGATTATAATTTCCTTGAATTGAATAAATTAAATGATTTTAAATGATTTTGAGTAGATTTCAATATGATTTCGAAAAAAAATGCAGTATCTTTAAAGTGTGCTATGTCAATCTATTGAATTTAAAATTAAATTAATTCTTAAAATAAATGTATTACTTTAGAATCCTACTAAGAGGGTAGTGGGTAGCTGCAATGAAGTCAAGTTTATGGTTGAATGATTAAGGACTCTTTGGGGGCTTTCTTTTTTGAGGATTTTGGAGTGCTGCAAAATCCTGAATAGCATTATAAGCTTTTCCAAAGGTTCTAAGTGGTTCTAATCCTTGACTTTTTTATTATACGGTATTACAATGCGCCTATTGGTCTAAGTGGATCCCTTGGGATCACTAGTATAATCTACCTATGTTCTTATAGTTCATCCTTAGATGCTATGTATCCATAAGTTCTTTTGTATTAATGATAAGCAGGTTCCCATAGTGATAGTGATATATGCTTCGTGATCTTTCCCTCACTTGCTTAATAGAAAGATTTAAAATTTATAGCTTGGCACTCTGTCTTACAATTTTATAGGGACTTATAAAAGGAACGAATATTTCTAGAGTCCACTGAAGGTAAGTATTTAGCAATACTCGAAAGCGAAACATGTCAGCTTAAAAACTTCATTAATTAGATATAGAAAGTTGTATAGTTACAATTTGTTTCTATTACAAACTATAAAACTTTACATAAAAATATTTTTCTCAAAGAGTAGAGATAAACTTAATTAAACTAAATCAATTTAAAGTGGAACTCACATATTACTATAGATAACCTTAAATAAAATCAAGTCACTGAAATTTAAAAATGCAAATGTTAGCTTCATAAGTTCACTCAATACTGGAAATCTAGTCATTATAATCACGATGAGACAAAATTAAAGTTAAAAATTCGAACACCTTGAAAGCATGGCTACCCTTTATATATACAGATCCCAACTCAACTTAAGAAATCATATAAATTAAATTAAAAATGGTTCAGTATGTGACAAGTCACAGTAATTTTGTTTCCAAAAGAATTAATTAGTCGTGCCGTCAATAATCAGTTGTTACAGATTGATTTCGGTTAGGGGAAATAGCGCATACGACTGTTGATCCCAAAATACAAATAGGGGAAAACGTAAAAATATATTGGACGAAAAATATATTAAGCTTGCTGTTTTTTTTATGTTGTTTGTGTTATTGTTTTTTGAAGCGTAGCTGTACTTTCATTTCGCACATATACATATTTCACCTTATACCAGAACCTGAATTAGATCAATTGCTGGTTCACTGTGTTATGATTGGTTCCTAATTGTGCGTTTTTTTCACATTCTGCAATTCTGCATAAATTGTTTTAAAATTATTATATTGCGAAAGTAGAAAATAAATAATATGGGAGCAGATATAATTGTTTTTATGAATATTTTCAGAATACATTTTGATTAATATTTATGAAGAGTTAATGTTTTATTTTCATTATTTTTCTATTTCTTGGTTCCACCAACAACGATGCAAAACTTATACAAACGTAACAAAACAGCTTTTGCTGTTATTCAAGTATGTTTAATACTTTTATTGAGTACGTTCAGTGGTTAATTCTTACAGAATTGCAATAGAACTTTGCGTTTGCAATAAATTTAATATTGCAATAAATCTGCAATACTTCAATGAATACAATTTATTGGAATAAATCTGAATAATAGCAATGAATAGTGCAACTTAAACGGAATATCAGCTTATCTTAAAAATATTCATAAAAACAATTTTTTTACAAAATACTATATATCTAAATCAATTTATATTGTCTAGTAATGGGATAATTGGTTAATCATTGTTATCAAAAAAAAATTAATAAAAATAAGTTATTTCACATTGTTTTATTTTTAATATTTTGATTTTAATATAAAGTCATTTTAAGAACACTGACAGTTGTATGTCAAAATACTAATTAAAATATTATTGTAATATGGCAGTTTCACTTTTGATCGTAACTTAAAAAAGCGTAAAATTCCTATAATCATTAGTCAAAAATGATTCTTAAGGCTCAATTAGCTGTGTTTTAAAAACTCATTTGACCCGTACTACCCTATGGAAAACAATGCATTTGAAATTATTCAAAATGAAAAGTAAAAGAAAAGTAAGAACCAATTAATTTTCGGTTTGTGTTGTAAGCGTAGGTGAAGTCTTATATCAGCTGATACAAAGATTGAGTAATCGTCTTTCTTTGTGTGCGAGGTATTTGGTGATCGAATTGAAGTATTGTTTCAGTGTTTGTGCTGTTTTGTTTTGTGTAGACAATGGATTTTTTTTACATTCTACTAATTTTATTTTTTACTTATTTAAACCTTCTGCAATGTGATTACACTATTTTAATTGCTTTTTATTGAATCGCTTTTATTTATAGCTTAACAATAAGTTTAAGAATCTAAAGAACTAATAACATCACATTAAAAATTATTTTATATATACATATAACAATGAATTATAAAATAAATTGTAAATTATTTAAAGAGTCGTCTGAATAAGAAGCTACGGCTTATTTACCAGATATTATAGCCCATGAGTTGAATTAAACAGGCTAATACTATGTTCAGACAGCCAAATTTCCTTAATTTCGTAAAAATGAAATTAAGTTAATTTCGAAAGTGTTTATACTGCCCCAAATTAAGGAAATCATATGTTTTTTGTTTACAAATCGAATTTTAAAAATTACATTTGTATATGGGAAATTTTAAAAGTTAATTATTATAACTATAAAGGATGGCATTCAGTAGTTTTATTAACTTTAGTGGATTTCAGATACGTGAGTTATTATTTTTCACTCTTTTTTAAATTAATACAGTTATAGTTTGTACTATTTTCAAAATATGTCCCGGTTTTATTAAAGTCAACTCTCACTGACATTTATTTAAAAAAAATGTCACTATTTCATTATCTTAACTTTATCTTTTGCTAAAAATTTGTCTAACGCATTGTTGCATTTGAAATGTCCCTTAATTTCAGCCTTCGTTTCAACGAAAATATGCTATTTTCCTTAAATCAAAGATGAACGAAGATGAAATTAAGATTTTTGTGTAGATTCTGCGAAATTTTGTGTAATTAAAATTTTGTCTGTGTAATTAAAAGAGTAAGTATTCGTTGATAATGATTTATTTCTTAAAATACCACGGCTTATATATAATTTTTATCTTAAAATTATCTTAGAAATAAAGGGATAAAATAATCTGTACTCAGCATATGTTCAATATTATCATTAACAATATTGTATTTACATATGGTGTTACAATTTATACCTATTAGTAACAGAAGACAATTTACATTAAGTGTTAAAAAAAGGTATTTAGTGCTGCATATACTCTTATGCTATTTTGGTATTATATGCACATCCGTAAGTATACAAAAATTAGATGCGTTTATATGTTTAGAATAAATCTATCTATATTTATCTCGAAATATTTTACAATCCCATGCAGAGAGATCTTGACGACACTTGTTGCAATAATAATAAAAACGAATTTGATACATTTACATTTAATGATACATTTTATTTAAGTTTCATGTAAGCAATGTGGGGAACCCACTATTTATTTAGGGACCATTATCAGTATGGTTACAATAGTTGGGTTGGCTATTTTTACTTTTATTGTTTAAGAAAATATTTTAAGATTCTATTTTTCATTATTTTACAGTTCTGAGGCTTCAAACAATAACAGATAAAGCATGTTCATTATTGAACAGTGTCTGAACATAATATAATCTTTAGGAAAGCAGGATAACAGGTGATTACACTATTAGATATAAAAGGTGAGTATAATATTATTTGCACGCAGATCTAAATTCAGTTTGATCATGCCAAATTTTTATACAAAAAATGCTTTTAAATATTAAATTGTTTTATTTATATGATTTTAAGCTTATTTATACAGCTTTTTTCGTTTCTTATTAAGACCGTAAAATTATAATTTCGCACTGTTTGCCAATATAGCACATAAAAAATAGGTTGCCAACCAAGCTGAACTTGTTAGTGGAAAAGTTCTTACAACTTAACTGCTGAAGCTTTTTATGAAAACTCGTTACCAACTTAACTCTTTGTACATGCAAAATTTCATTTTGTGTTGTTTTCTTTTTGTGCGTTTCGTTTTCATCGTACCACTGTGATAAAATTGAACTGAGTTTATTTCTAATGTGTCAGACAATTGCAGTTTCAGTTGTAAGCGAGCTTTTGCGGTGTACGGTCGTGTTTTTAGTCGTTTATTCGTGGAAAAATTCTGTGAATTAGTGTTGTTTGTTTTTTTTGCTTTTGCTTCAGGAAGACAGGAGTTAACGAAGTAAATTTATTTAAATTTAAAATAAAATAATAGTATTGCTAATTTTATTTAATAAAAATTTAAATTATTTAAATCAATACGAGAAAAAGCCGTAAAATTTGTAGTTGCAAATTGTGTAAAAGGCTCTGGTGACATATGTTTTCATGTTATATTTGTTCAATTCCAGAAAATTTGTGTTAATGAAGTAAGCAAAGAAAAACCGAAACCTATAGGAGGAGCACGTCGTATTGAGGAGCTGAACAAAAGCTTCTACAACTTCATCCCTTAAGTTCACAGCTGCTTAAATAGTCGAGCTCTCGGCCTAAAACGGAATTGATACGCTCTCTTACTCAATTTAAGTGGTTGATTAAGTGGCATTAAGTTTCCCGCTAAAAATCAGCAGGTTGACGACCCAAAACGTAAATAGACAAGCATGTCGCGGTGCCGGTTGGTACCAGAGTGTCTCTAGTGTATTTGTTTGTCACAAATTTCGATATTTTGTGCTGATTCCGATTTAATTTTGTTGGTTTGTCGTAATTGTGATTTGATTTATGGGGTAGAACAAGCACAGGTGAGCGTGGAACATTGATTTTGAATCTTTGGTGTTGGGTGCATAATAGAATATTTTATTTATAATAAACGAAGAAATGCATTGAATTTTTATTATTTGTTCTTTCCGTGTGAATGCATTTTCGTGATAAAGCTGCTTATCACATTTGTCTGCTATAAATAACTTAAGCTGCACTTAAGTTTAATGCAACTGATATCATTATTTTTTTGTGTAAATTGTTAAGTGATCGCAATCTTATATAAAAATTATGATTATTATATTCGTATTTTAAACAAGTAATTTTAAGCAAAATATTAAAGAAAAAATAATTAAATAAGTAAATAATAAAAAATTATTTTTGTCCTATAATAAGAAATTTAGAATAGAATGGAGAGTAATATATAGTAAAGAAATTTTTAAATTTAAAACTTTAGTTTTTATAAATTGAATTTTTGGTTTAAACAAGGCAAACATCCGTAAAAAATAAAAAAAGAATTTATAAAAAATTAAAAGGAAATATAAAAAAGAAATTTATAAAATATAAAAAAAATGTATATATAAAACAATTGGGCTAACCAACTCAAATATCGCTAAAAAATGATAAAAAATAAAAAAAAGAATTTATAAAAAATAAAAAAAATTATAATATATAAAAAATAAAATAAAAAATAAAAAAGAATTTATAAAAAATTAAAATGAAATATAAAAAGGAAATTTATAAAATATAAAAAAAATGTATATATAAAACAATTTGGCTAACCAAAAATGATAAAAAATAAAAAAAATTATAAAATAAAAAAAAAAAAATAAAAAAAATAAAATATAAAAAAAAAATTTGTGAAATATAAAAGAACAAATTTATATATAAAAAAATGAAAATTTTACTAAATTTATTTTTTAAATATATCAGTATAAATAATAAATCATAAATTGTAGAGTCGACAAAATAGCCTGTGAGACATTGACATATTTTTCTTTTTTGGGTAGTTCTAAATTGCGAAATATTCTAATTTTTAAATGTTCTTATTTCTTATAAATCACAATAAATTTTTGTTTTGTATACCACTAACTGTTATATCTGCTATTATAATTTGTTAAATTAATTTTTAAAATTGACATAACGATGTCAATAGGTAGGGCCGCAAACAGTTCACATATTTTGCATCATATCCATAAATTATTAATATTTTCAATAGTTGAAGAAGAAGACATAACAAGTATGGCAATTCTCTGTTTTTAGTTTTATTTAGTTTATTACTTCAATATAAGCAAAAACTTTAAAAAAGCAAACTTCTTGAAATGGGAACCAAAAGTTTTAATTTTAGATAATTCATACATAAAAACATCAGGTTCTACCTTTTAGACGTTGTAATTTCTGGACGTTCTAATTTGTGAATATTCTAATCTCTGAACTATCAGATGTCCGCTTTGTGGAACTGTATTGCATTTCTAGTACAGCGTTTCTTAACCGTCGGTCCGTGAACCAATGCTGGTGGTAATGTAATGTAGTTTAGTGTTTCTCAACCCAAAACGTACTTCGGAGGACTGTTAAACTGTTTTTTTGATACTTGTGGTTAATACTAACAATACACATCCCGTTATAATGCAATTCTTTTCGTTCCTTGGTTATAGAACATTATACATATTAAAAATAAAATATTGGCTTGGTTTAGTTATTTTCAATTCAAAACATACTTCTGACCGGAAATATATTCAATACGTCCTAATAAACAGCATTGTTATAGTTATACAATATTATTTACAATATATATATATATACGTTTTACAATGTTGAATATTTTTCAGATCTGAATTACGATTTGGGTTGGAAAACATTCTACTACATTATATTTTATGCTTTATTTTTGAAATGTAGAGCGTTCTCTATCCAAGAAACGTCAAGAATCCCGTTGGAAACAGTCTAGTAGAAAAAATAAAATGAATTCTTTTCAGAATAACTCTTTTTTTTGACTAACCTTTTTTTTTAAATACCTGTATTTTTGATTACAGTTCTTCCAGCTATGTATCTTCAGTAATTTTAAAGACGGACTGCTAGTATTTTTCTTTTTTGTTAGTTTTTTAAGAAAGAAATCACTTCCAGAATTTCTTTATCCCAGCAAGAAATACCTTCTATATTTTTTATTTTATACAAAATATTGTTTTATTTGTTAAAATGAAATATTAATTGACTAATATTAATAGGGCTGTTGATAAATATTTGTAATGTCACACTGTGAAGAGAAGAAACCTTTTGTGAATAAAATTAAAATAAACTCAAAATTCCTTGATTCGGTTTTTAAAAACATTTGTTAACCATTCTTTCCATTATATACTAAAGTTATCATCAATACTTTAAAACTAAGAAATATGATTGTTTGATTCTTTACTAATTAAATAAAATTTTTTTTTTAATTAAGTATTATGAAATATATTTAATTAACTTACTTCTCGATGTACTATAATTGGTGACAAGCATAGGTTTGCCTAATGTATTTAACAACTGATGAGATATTATAAATATTTGTTTGGAATGGACTTATAAAACCATTGAATGATGTTCATCGGTGTTCAGTTTTTGGATTATTTCCTTAGATATATTGATAATGTATATAAAACGTTCATTCGTTTTCATGATGCATTATCATCTAAATTGATCTTATTGTGTTTATATTTGTTTATAAGTATTGTTAGTTTGATATGTTAATCATTCACACAGCGGTTATGATATGCTATTTTAAATATTATATTATTTATTATGTTGCTGTATGATTTTTTTTGTTTTGAAACAAAGTGCTGTTACATAGTATTTTGAAGCTGTTTAATATTCATAATTTTATTAAATACACATATAAGAGATGTGATATGTATATTATAAATAAGGGAAGTTTATGATATATATTCCCATATTGAATTTCATATAAATGTTTGTTATTGAGTACTCGACTGGATTAGTATTTGGCTTTCTTACGAATGCAGATAACATTCATAAGCCTGTGGCGTCTTCACATAATTTTATGTAAAATACTATATCGTTACATATTTTATTTATCGTACCATATTTATCACGGTATATTATTTTTTAAACTAATTTCCGAACAAAGTGCTGTTGTTAGTGCTGTTTTAAAGCTATTTAATATAAGTACATATGTAAGAGATGTGAAGTGTATGTTATAAATCATAGAAGTGAGTGATACATTTTCCTATATTGAATTTCATATTAATGTTTAGTTATGTTGTATTCTACTGGGCTTGAGTTGGGCACTTCTTATGAATGTAGATAACCTTCATAAGCCTTTGGCGTACATATACCTACTTCATATTAGTAGGTATGTATGGAATTAGTAACAATTATCGCTACAATTTTTTTTTATCATATCACTGAATAAGTACAATGAACGTACTTTACATCTGAATTTATTATTTTTAGAGGTTTTTCTTGGCCAATTCCAGGACAACCTGGATTTATTATTTTAAGAGGTTTTTTTAAGAAACTTGGTCAACTTCATGTCCACTCTCAAAAAAGCATTTTAAGCTTTGCTGATGGTTCAATGTGGTTTTAAAACCTCCGAGTTACTTGTACGGTAGTATTATGAGCCTGCAAGTCTAAGTGGATTCATAGGATTGCCATTATAACCTAACATAATTTTAATTTGTATAATTTAGTGTCCAAACCTCCAGTTACCTCTTAACTGATTATCACAGTCATGACTCTATAATTACTTAAATGGTTATGGAACTATATCCACGGGTATTGCCTAATGACAATACCCGGAGACGGTGAAGGCTAATCACCGGAGAAAACGCGAAAACATAATTTAATGTATAAAGAAAAGTTTATCTAATTGTTGATGAGAATTATTTACAATAAATATTTTTATGAGCTACGTAATATTCTCCATTAGAGTTACCACTAACTTTTAGTAAGCATATACGTAATATATATCATATAAATTTTATGTATGATGTATGTATTATATATAAATAATGAATTTATATAATTTTCTTCAATTACCCTTTGAATTAATTATATTGGATCAAATATTAATAATCAATTAGTTTTTACCTTTAAGCCATCTGCTTACCAATCTGTTAAGTATATTTAGTGCTTTGAAAAACTTTATACCTATGCAATGAGAAAACGCTTAAGAGAGCAATAAAACTGTCCAACAGTGCGTATGAATGACAGAATTATGTACGGCTTTCCCCATTTCTCGACTTCTCACTCCTTTGTTGAACTGACTCTTGACATTGTTATGTACTAATTATTATTTTACTTAAATAAATTTAATAAACTTTGTTTACTACTCAATCCAGTTACTTTTCGACTTTTATTATACTTTAATATTTTTTCTAAAAGCCATAAAGTCAGCATTTTTTCTTTTCATATTTCGGTTTTTATGGATTTGAGGCATTAAAATTCTGAAAAGTCAAGAGCTTTCGTGAATAAATACAAAAAGTAATTAACAGCGCAATGTGGGCATTTTCTATTTGCACTCTTTACATTTTTTATATTATAATTTTGAATTCTTTATAAAACGCCCCTACACAGTACTGCTCTTCAGCTACTTTGGCCCGCAACTGAGTAACCTACATTTTAACATGCGTAAAATTTTTAAGTACGCAAACAAAATACGTAAAGGTAAACAGAATCTTATGGAGTTTGCCTTGCTGTTAAGCGCTTGAGTAAATAAACTGCGCCGTCATGTACTTGTACTTTATACAGATAAATATACAATACAGCCAGTCATACATGGAGAAGCTGTCTGTTCTTCTTGATAAGTTACTATGAATGAATAAACTTGAATCTAACGAACCAAAAATGAAATTATCTTGTTTTGAATTTCATTTAAAGACATTTGAAATATTAAAAAATAATAAATTCATTTATTTATATTTGTTTTGTATAAATACTCCTAAAAAAGTATTTCCCTTGCAAAACTTTTTATGATCTTGAATTAAATTTTTTATTATATATTTATTGTGTTTAACTTACCAGTAGTCTCCACTCTACTATATCCGTA